CATCCCTGCAGCTCCAGTTTGTGGACTGAAGGATCATCCTGTATCTCTGGGAGCCTGCAGCTCCAGCTCATGGGCTGAAGGATCATCCTGCATCTCTGGGAATCTGCAGCTCCAGCTGATTGGCTGAAGGATCATCCTGTATCCCTGGGAGCATCCCTGCAGCTCCAGTTCATGGGCTGAAGGATCACCCTGCATCCCTGGGAGCGTCCCTGTACCTCCAGTTCATGGGCTGAAGGATCATCCTGCATCCCTGGGAACGTGCAGCTCCAGTGTGCGGACTGAAGAATCACCCTGCATTCCTGAGATCATCCCTGCAGCTCCAGTGTGTGGACTGAAGGATCATCCTGCACCCCTGGGAGCATCCCTGCAGCTCCAGCTCACAGGGCTGAAGGGTCACCCTGCACCCCTGAGCACCCTGTGTGGCTCTGAGCCTCCAGCACCCCTGGGACACACCACCCCTGCCATTCCTCCTGCCTGCAGGGTGACAGCCCAGCTGCAGCACCTGCCCTGCCAGCACCTCCCTGCACAGTGGGCTCTCCACAGCACCCCCAGGCTCCTGGAACAGGATTATTCCTATGCAAATAGGCTGGAAATCCCCTGTGGGTGGGGAATTGAAGATGGATATTGCACTGAGGAGCAGAACAGCCACGGCTCTTGGTGCCAGTGACATTTGTCTACACAACTGTCCAGTCACAGAGGTCAGTGGATGCACAGGTAACCCCAGGAACTGGGCACTCAGGTGTCCAAACTGCACTGGAGAGTTTAAGTACTAAATGAAAGGTGGTTCTCAGGATTCCGAAGATAATAACACAAATTCTACATTTTCTTTGCACTGTTATACACAGCTCAAAATTCCCTCAGTGAACTGAGCATCCAGGCTGTGCCCATGTGAGTGACACACCATCCACGTGGCACCAGTGCTTGGACAAGCAAGTGCCTGAGGTCCTGAGGAGCCCTCACTCCTGGGCTTTGTTCATATTTTCCTCCTTTAAGGGAAAATAATGTACATCAAGTTATGATTCATGCCCTCCTGGAACTGATCCCTGGTCAGGGAGGTGATTCTGCCCCTCTGCTCTGCTCTGGTGAGCCCCACCTGGAGCACTGCATCCAGCTCTGGACCCCAGCACAGGAGGGACCTGGAGCGTTTGGAGTGAGCCCACAGGAGGCCTTGGAGATGCTCCAGGGACTGGAGCTGCTCTGCCCTGGAGCCAGGCTGGGAGTGCTGGGGGTGCTCAGCCTGGAGAAGGCTCCAGGGAGAGCTTGGAGCTCCTTGCAGTGTCTAAAGGGGCTCCAGAGAGCTGGGAATGGAGTGACAGGGCTGGCTCACCCTGCCAGAGAGCAGATGGGATATTGGGGAGGCATTTTGTACAATGAGGGTGCTGGGGTCCTGGCATGGGTTCCCAAAGAAGCTGTGGCTGCCCCATCCATCCCTGGAGGTGTTCAAGGACAAGGCTGGACAGGGCTGGGGTAGTGGAAGGTGTCTCTGCCAATGGCTGGGAGTTGAACTAAATGACCTTTAAAGATCCCTTCCAACCCAAACCATGTGATTCTGTGATCCCAGTGGGAGGAAGAGCTTGTTCCCTTCCCAGGCACCCTCACCCAGCCCATAAAACCCAACCTCTCCTGCCTCAGGTACCACGTGGGGCTGTGGCAGCCCTTAAATCACTCAGGAGCTGCCACATCACCCACACCCAGCAGCTCCTGCCTGATGCCTGCCTGTGCTGCCACTACCAGGGCACTCAGCACCCCGTGCCCACCTGCCTGCCCTCACCCCACTGCCCAGCACAGGAAAATCTCAGCCCACCTGAGAACATCAGCACTGCCTCCGCTTGGCTGCAGCCATCACCTCCCAGTGCATGGCATCCTGGATTTCCCCACTCTGTGCCAATGTGGGGCTCTGCAAACATCAGTGGGCACAGGGATAAAGGCTCTGGTGGCCAGGACCCTGCAGAAACAGGGAGACACCACCCAGGCTGTGCTGGGGATGCTCAGCTACAGCTGAACAGGTTCCTCGGGAGCTGTCAGGGGTTAAAAAATACCTTGGAAGCCCTGGGAGTGAATTTAATCTGGTGCCTGTCTCCTCTGCTGACACTGATAGGAGGGAATTTCTGTGCCCCAGCCTCCCCATGAGACTCCAGCCCAGTCCTGAGCAGGAAGGGCAGCGTGGGGTGGATGCAGTGCCAGCTAAAGCCCCGTCAGTGCTGGAGAGGAAAGGAAAACTGCCTGGTGTCTCCTGCAGCAGGGTGGGCTGTCACTGACAGTCCCAGCTGGGGAAACTGAGCTCGGGAGGGAAAAATCCCTGATCCCACTGAGGCCATGACAAGCCCCATCCCATAAAACTAACCCGGGGTTTATAAATATCCCTGCAGACAGGCTCCCTGCTCGGCGGGGCTATTCCAGTCCTGACACACGATCCACAGGGGTCACCCAGCACCTGGGAGAACGCCCAGACACACAGACAGACAGACCCGGCATGCTCCCTGTGTCCCTGCCCTGCCCACCCTGCCTGCAGGGCTGCCGGCCACAATTCCTGCACAATTCCACAATTCCAGTGGCCAGCATGGGCAGGAAAACCGCGCTGGAATGTGGCTGGGACAGCAGTGACAGCCCCATCCCTTTTCTCTGCCCTTCACTGGCAGAGCTGGTGCATCCCAACCTCTGGCCAAAGTGCATCCAGCCAACCCTGCCCGGGATTCTTCCAGGGTGGGATGTGCTAATGCCTCAATCACTCACAGCAGCCTGATGGAGACAGGCACAACCAAAACCCAACAAAAACCTCCAGCTGAGGAGCTGATTTAATTAGAGTGAGATAATGCAATTTCCTAGCTGACCAGAGACAGCCAAGTTGAAGTAAGACCTGGCTGAAGCTTCAGTGGAACTAGAGGCGCAGAATAAGCAGTTTCACCAGGCTCAGGATGCTCTGGGAAACTGTGACAAGCTTGTTTGAAAAGTGTGAAAGAGCCTTGGAAATGTCAAAGGATTTCAGCACCTTCTGGAGGCTGCTGGATATTTCATTCGGAAGATGCTAATTTCATTCTTCCTGGTACTACATGGTAGTAAGTGCCTTGTAACTCGAGCGGGTTCTTAGTGATTGTCTCTGTCACAGGATTAGTGACTAAATTGTGCCTTTCACAGCAACTGGGAAGTTTAAAATAAATACTTCTCAATGCTCCGAGAAACACGTGAGGAGGAAAAACATCACAATAAGCTGTGTTTTTTCCACTGACTGTGGGTGGAAAGGAGCAAATCTGCCTCTCCTATCCTGTGGCATTTGCTTGTTAGGATCATCTAGTAGCTCAGGTCTCTCCTACCTGCTAAGGGCTAATCCAGCCTGCTGAGAGTGCAGGGTGGGAAGGACTAAAAGACATTTACAGCAGCTCTGCACCGCTGTGCCACACCACCAGCAGCACCGGCAAAGAGATTTTTACCTCTCATTCCCGCAGGTTTCCTATTTAGAAACAAGTGACAGAGGACACACTCACCCAATGCCTGATGACCATCAGCTATTGCTGAAAAGCCAAAAATTTCACCTCCCCTGGTGCTCAGATCCTCGGCCAGCTGATGGCCAGCAGGAGCAGCTGGCAGAATTACCCTTAAAACTGCCTGTAATAGAAGTTTACAACTTTCCCACAGGCCACTGCTGCCTCAGACGCTCCTCACTGCCTGTTCCAGCTGCTCCCGAGTCTCGTTGCTGCTGTGGACAGCTTTACATTATTCCTTGCTGGAATCACAGCCCATCCAGCCTCGGGCTACAGATTCTGCAAATAGAGAGACAGACTGACCATCCCCTCTGGTGCCCTTCGGTTGGCACCAAATCTACCTAGGCGGGAGAGGAAAATCTTAATCTGAAAACGCAAGAAAAAGGACTTTGCCGTGAAATTAAAATATAATAAAAACAATAATGATAATAACAATAATGATAATAACAATGATGATAATAAAAAATTAATAATAAAAATAATAATAAAAAAGGGGGGGAAGGCGTTTCTAAAATAAAAAATAAAAACTACATTACCCACAATCCACGGACATGTGGGAGGAAATGCTGTTTTTTTGCAAAGGAGGTTTAGCCTCAACAGCTGCAGTTTAAAAGCGAAATACAGGGGGAGGGATGGCACTGGGCGAAGGAGGGAGGACGGGGCGGCGGGGGGGGCCCGGAGCCGCCGCCGGTGCCGCCGCCGGGGCCGCGGGAGCCTCGGGCATGCGGCGCTGCGTGCGCGGGCGGCCGGCGGGGCTCGCCCGGGGGCACCGAGGGGCTGCCAGCGAGTTCCCGCGAAGTTTGACCCCGCTGCCTTTGCCGACGCTGCGGCGAGCGGAGCGGGAGCCCGCCCGCGCCCCCCCGCGCCCCCGGCGAGGCTGAGCCCCGGGTGCACGAATGTATTGCGGGAGAGGAAGCCTGCGGCAGCCGGGAGGCGGAGGCACCGATCCTGCTCCGCTCAGCTCCCCGGGCAGCCAGCGCAGAGGCGAAGGGGAAAAAAACCCCAGCGGGAGAAGAAGCAGGAGAAGCAGGAGCCTCCCCCCCGCCGCCCCGCGCCGCCGCTCGCCCCCGCAGCGCAGGAGCCGGGGCTCGGCGGCGCGGCCGGGGCTCGCCGCGGCTCCCCGCGATGCTGTGACGCCCCGCGGGGCCCACGCGTGTGCGGGGCAGCCCCGGCGCCCGCCCATGAGCCCCGCCGGCTGAGCCGGCTCGCCCCGGAGCGCCAGCGGGAGGAGGAGGAGGAGGAAGGTCGGACACCCCTGCGGAGAGCCGCTCGCCGAGGAGGAGGAGGAGGAGAGAGGAGGAGGAGGAAGGGGAGCGGCGCCCCCGGGCCGGTGCGTGGGGGGGATGTCACGGGCGGCGTTGAGCGGGCGCTGAGCGGGCGCGGAGCGGCGCGGCCCCGGCGGGCGCGGGGGAGGCTCCATCGCCGCTGCCCCGCTGCGCGCCCGCAGCCGCCGGCCCCACCGGCACCGCGCTCGCGTCCCCGCGCCCGGCTATTTCTAAGGGGAAGAGGAAAAAAAAAGAAAAAAAATTAATCCCCAAAGCCCAGACAGCGCTGGCGGAGGAGCCTCCAGAATCGGAGATTTGGCGACTTTTTGCATTTTCCAGCCGTCGTTTCTTTCTGTTATTATTGTAATTTTGTGCGAAAGGAAGTTATGAACAACTGCAAGTCAGGAAGTGGAAATCCACACCGGTTGTGACAAGCTGGGGCTAAAAACTATTTCATTATTTATATAGATGTGTCTATCAACATTCTGCTTTTCATCCAAAGAATAAAGGGAAATACCGGCTAGTCCTATGTTTGATGGTGAATGACAGACTGCATCTGAGCAAAGGAAGGACTAAATATATCAGCTAAGAACACCACCTTTATTTATTGAACTCAAGAGACTTTTTTTTAACCCAAAGACTGTTTGAGCAAGAGATTTAATGGGTCATTAAAAGGGGAAAAAATTTTAAAGGCCCTTTTGCTTCTGAAGCGCAGCTAACCTCAAAAATAGAAGCAGTGCTTGTAAGACAGATATTCGAATTAAGGCTTTACGTGATGAATTTTCTATCCTATGGATATCAGTTTTGAAATTACAAACCAAGAAGATCTGTAATTGATCTAGCACCAGACAATTTCAATGCCTAATATTCCCCAGGATTGCTGGAGTACCCTAGGAGCTGCGTCAGACTGTACTCGGGGTATGCCATGGGCTGTATTCAGAGCATTAGCTGCAAATCCAAAGTTTTCCGGGAGAGCATTTCAGTGGTCGAAGTGAAAGCCTCCATCGATCCCGTTCCCACCAGCATTGACGAGTCCTCCAGCGTGGTGCTGCGCTACCGCACCCCTCACTTCCGAGCCTCTGCCCAGGTGTTGGTGCCCCCTCTCCCCAAGAAGGAGACCTGGATCGTGGGCTGGATCCAGGCTTGCAGCCACATGGAGTTCTACAACCACTACGGGGACCAGGGGATGTGAGTATTGCCGAGGGGAGGGCGCGTGCGGGTGGGAACGGGGAGAGAGGCAGGGCCCTGGCCTGCTTGGGAAATAGTGGATCGAGCCAAAAGTTATGATTTTTATAATCCATGTTTAAAAACCCAGCCCCTCCGAAACTTAACAGGACTTTGCTGTGTGTTTAAAATACAGGAGAGCTTGTCCCTGCCCTTTCAAAGCAGTGGGTGTTCTTCTCCTCGAGTGGGAATTTGCCCAAGCCCCAACCAAACCCCACTTGTTCTGGTGGGAACCCAGCAAAGCCCTTCCACAACAGCTTTTGGAGATCCTGAAACCCCGGGAGCAGCCCTGCTTTGATGGGTGTGCGACACCAGTGGCTCTCCTGACCTCCAGCTCCTCTTGCCTGCATCCCTCCCCATCCCAAAGGTGCCCATCGAGGAGCCCCAGGGCGAGCCCAGGGCTGACACTTGTGGCACGGAGCCGTCCCTGGCGTGCTCTGTGCTGCTGCTGCTGCTGCTGCAGTGAGCTGTGGCTGGCAGCTCGGAGCCCACCAGCTCTGGGAGCACACTGAACGTCACAGGAGGAATCCTGCTTGCTTTGCCCACAGCAGCAGGCAGCCCACGGGAATCACAAGCTGGATTTAACCCCTTGGTAGTTAAACCACCCGCATCACCTTGGAGCAGGGTGCGGATTTCACGTTACCCTCCCTCACGGGGGATGTGAAAGGGAATATATGGGTGTAAGTATGAGGTGGGAGGAATCCAGGGGCTGCTTGCACACCAGGAATCCCCGTGGTACTGGTCAGACAGTCATAGTGAGGCAGGAATGAGTCAAATCAGAATGTCACCTCCCTGCCAAGAAAAGTCATCTCTCCCCAGTGCCCCACCAGCTTGTTCTCCAAACGTTTAGCCCACAGCTAAATCAGCCCCAGCACCTGATCCCCAAATGCCTGCACAGAGCAGCAGTTCTGCAGCTCACAGTGCTGGGCAGCACAGGTGCAGCCTCCTGGTGCAGCAGAAATGTGTCTGTCCAGCCAGGGGGACAGAGCCTGACCGTGCTGGCAGATGGGTCAGTGGCTGGAGCTGCTGATGCTGCCCAGGCTCTGGGGCTGAGGGAGGAAGGACGGGAAGGTCAGGTCTGAGAATCCTCTCCCTGCTCTGCCCCGAGCCAGGGAGATGCTGGCTCAGCCCCTGAGGGTCAGTCTGGGCAGCTTAAAAAATCCCTGAATGAGGAGAGCTGGGGGAGGCGGGCTGGAGAGCAGGAATGAGTGAATGCAGCACCTTCCTGACAGCCTGAACATCTGCACGCACAGCTTCCCTTCCCTTCCCTTCCCTTCCCTTCCCTTCCCTTCCCTTCCCTTCCCTTCCCTCTCAGGGACCCCAGGGAATCAGGAACACCCCCAGGTGACAATCTGCCCCTCTGCTGTCCCCATGTCCCCTCTCTGCTCAAGCAGAAAGTTTCCTGAGATGCAAACTGGTACCTGGCAAACAGCAGCAGTGAAGGCAGGCTGATTGTGATTTTAAAAGTATTTACAGCAGGCCTGAAATCTGTAGGCTTTCTTGGCTCCAAGAGCATCTTTAGCAAGGACAATTTGTTGCTCAGATGTTCCCAATTGCAGGCCTTTGGGATTTGCATGTGTAATTCTCAGGCTCATTTAGGAATCCTGTCTTTAGCCACCAGCTGCAAAGGGAAAATAGAAAAGTCCACTTTGTATAAATACAGCTCAGATGCACTGAAATAGAGGGGACTGGGCACAGAGTGATGCTGCCAGTGCTGCAAACCTCAGTGTGGCCTTTTATTCCCCTGCACCTGAGTTTCCCTGTGTTTAAAATGAGGATTTGGTACAGCCTGCCCTTGCTGGAATGTTTTGGGACAAAAAAGAAAAGGAAAAAAAAAAAAAAAAAAAGGAGTAGTAGGTGCTGCTGTAAACTGGTAGAATTAAACACTGCAGCTATGTATGAGAGCTTTTAGCTAGAAAATCATGGAAACAAAGATGTTTCCCTAGGAGGTTCACTGACATTTAACTGATTAAAAAAAAAAAAAAAAGTTACCCAAACACAAGCAGGAATTGGTCTGTTTCTGCACTCTCTTTCTATAGACTCATTGCCATCTGAAGGCTATAAATAAAGGCATTTAGGAGGAAAGGCCTCTTCAATGCCATTGAAATATGGGTTGGAAGACCATTACAGAGAGAGAGGACACAAACCTGGTAGAAAGGATGGGCCAAGGCTTTGGCTGGTGAAACTCGATGTAATCCCTCTGACCTCCACAGAGCTGCATCGATTGATGCCAGCACAGCCCCAACCCTCCATGGCAGGCAGAGGCCACTGCCACATCCATGTTTTTAACCCCTGTGGTGACTGGCAAACAAAAACCCCCAAATAATCAAAAATCACTCATCCAACCGCAGCACCAATACTTACAGCAGGCTCTGGATTAATTTTGCACTTCTCTGCTGGGAAGTTGTTAGCTGTGCATAAGCTGGCCATTGCATTGAGGATGGAAACAGCTGAGAAATACTGGAGCAGATGGAGCTGTGCATAATGCTGCTATAGGGATGGGAGTACAGAGGGGATAATTTAGACACACACGTTTAAAGTGGCACTGAACAATTTGGGGGCTAAATGCAGCATTTTTAAATTTAAAGGGAGAGAATTAGAGCTCAGCTAACACATGAAGTGCTGGCATTGCTTTTCATGTGAGTCAGGAGATGCTGCAGGGAACATGAAAACCCCCAGCACGGGGATGGGGATGTGCTCTGTGACCCCTCTCTGTGCACCCATGGCTGGTGCTGCTGCTCCTCCCTAAAATGCAGGATTTCACCCTGGTCCTGAGGGAAGGATCTGCTGTGCACAGGGAGGCAGCAGCATCAGGCCAGAGCTGTGACCTGAGCAGGAGCAGCTGGACCAGGTCCCTGCTGGCATCTGCTGGGCTGGGTGCTGGTTTCTGCACCTGGTGGAACCTGTGCCAGCTCTGGGCCCTGCTGGAATGGCATTCCCCAGCCTCCTTCATCTCCATGGAGATGTGCAAGAAGCTGTGCAGATGGAGATATGCAAAAGAGAGAGATAAATGAATTGGAGTTGGAATTTGATCAGCCAGGAATCAGGAGAAGTTTTCCTGTGGATGTTTCTCCCCCTGGAAGACCTGATGGGGCACTTGCATCCTTACATCATCACTCCATCTTCCCAGGCATCTCTCCCTGGTGAGATTAAATCTTCCATGCCCTGCAGCAGGGACATAATGAACTCAAATTGCCAAGAGAATAAACCCCCAGTCCCCAGGGGGGAGGACACGATCAAAAACACCACAAGGGCATCTTTTCCAAAGAAAGTGAAGGGAGGTCAGTTCCCTGTGGGAATTTACTCCTCCAGGGATTCAGAGGACAAGGCTCTGCTGCCCTGCAGTGGCCCCTGGATCTCACCCACCTTAGCCCAGTTCCATGGGTTGTCCATTGAGTTTGCTGCAGAAATTGTTCCCTTTTTCCTGATGCCAGTTTTGTGTCAGTTCCACTCCCTGACCCAGCCCCAAACGCTGCTGCTGGCTCAGGAGATGAGGCAGGAACACACAGCTGGAGGGTGGGAGGGAGAGGGACCACAGCAGCACAGCAACATCTTCAATTTCCTTCCTGTTCTTCACTCTAACCCTGCCTTGACTTGCCTGCCATGCTGGAAAAGGTGAGAGAGGCACTGCAAAGGAGAATTTAAAATTAAGCAGCTCTGGCTATCAGGTTTTCTTTCTTTCAGTGAGTCCCCAGTGCAGGGCAGTGGTGGAGGGAGGCAGGAGCAGGATGTGAAATCCTGAGACAGAGTTTCAGTACATGGCCCTGCTCCCTGCACCAGGCAGGGGCTGTGCCCCACAGGGGCTGCTCTTATTTAGGGAGCTTGGAGAGGAAGGTGCTGGAAAGCAGAAGGTTGTGCAAGTCCATCTGGCCTGTGACTAATTAGGAGCTGGCTTTAGGCAATTAGAGCTGAGGTTGCAGCAGTGCCTGGTGCCTGTCTGGAGAGGTTACCTGCATGTTCCCCACTGCTGGATGCCCAGGGCTGGCTTTGCTGTCCCTGCCCTGCTGGGTGCTGTGGGACAGACATCTGGAGCTCAGGATGATTTGTTCTGTGTGACAGAAGAGGGAAAAAGTGTCTGAATGAGAACTGGGAAGCCAAAACCTACATAAAGCTGCTTGGCTGTCAGCAGCAGGGCTCTGCTTGTACCACAAGAAATAGCTCAAAGTTCCTTCTGGTAGCAAGAAGACATTTGTTGGAGAGGTTTCTTGGCAGCTCCAGGCTCTGGTGGTGCCCACACTGGCTCTGAAGGTTTCAGAGGAGGCAGAAACAGGCCTGTCAGTGTTGTGAGGCAGAACCTACTGATCCTGGAGCTGATCAGTGAACCCACGAAACCAGATAGCTTGATTGCTTTTCATGCCTCCTTCCTGCTATTGTCAGCAAAGTGTTTACTGGGCACTTTCTGGTCTCTCCTTGGCTCGACACTACCAGAGAAAGATGCTGATGCAGCCAAAGATCATTCCACAGCATTCTTTCCAAAATCATCCAGTTGTTGGCATATTATTCAGCATGGACACGCTCTGCAAGCAGAGGCTGCCAGCCTGGCTGGCACAGGGGCTTTGCTGGAGCATCAGGAGAGGGACAGTCACCAGCAGCAGCCACCAGGCAGCCTCTGCTCTGCTCCAGTCATGGGATCATCATGAGGCCTCGTTTTTCTGCTTGTTCCAAGCAGAGCAGATGAAGCATGATGGTTTTGAAACCCTGGGGTTAACCACACTGGCTCGAATTAGGCACAGCGCGCTCTCTGAAGAAACGCAGGCTGGTGTCTCCTTCCCCGTTCCTGCCCACGCCTTTGCTCAAGCTGGGTGTCCTCCCTGAGCCCAGCCACGCTCAGCTTTGCCCTGGGATGCTACAGGCTCTGCAGGCACCATCCTGCTCAGGCTCTGACACAGCTCCACCCTTGTGCTCTTGTTTAAATCCTGAGCAAATCCCCAGAAGCTCCTGCAATTCCGTCCTGACCTGGGAATGAAGATGGGGACAAGCAGATCTTAGAGGAGCTGCATTTCCTGAGCATCCTCTGTCAGGTTCTCCTGCCATCCAGCCAGCAGCTCTGATCTGAGCAGGCTGGAGCAGCCCAGGAGGGTTCTCACCCTCTGGGGCATCGCAGCTCCTGGTTTGGCACCTGGGTACCTGCAGAGATGCTGTGGCTGCACCACACTGTCACCTCAGAGTCAACCTCTGCCACGTCTCAGCCCTGGGTGACAGCCAAGCTGAGCACCAGCCCCTGTCTGAATGGAAAGTAATCCTAAACCAGCAGGTGACAGGGAGAGAAGAGCCCCCAGATGGGGTTTCGGAGCTGGGCTGTGCAGCAGGGAGGGGTGGGGGCTGCAGAGCAGGACCTCCACTCCTCCATCAGCGAGGGCTGGGTCACTCAGCATCCCCTGGGCCTTCCTGGGGCCATCCTTGAGCCTTCCTGTGCCTTCCCTGGGCCATCCCTGAGCCTTCCCCTGCTCAGCTCTGCCTGAAGGGCGCTAGGGTTGGTGAGCCAGGATGACTCCGGTTTGCAGAGCAGAGCAGAGCACATAAACATCTCTGCAGTGCACAAGGGTCCTGGCAGGACTGCTCAGGGATCTCCTTTTGGCTGCCTTCACTAAAAATTTTCTTCCAGGGAAAGGACTCCCTCTGCCTGCTGGCGATGAGCGCGGGAGGAAGGCATTGCTGCAGCTGCGGTGCCGTAGCTGACAGCAGCCTGTAAATCTGACCAGGGAGATGTTGTGCTTGCATAACCCCTGCTCCTGCGGCTCAGAGCATCCCTGCAGCCCCTGCAGCTCACAGCATCCCCTGCTCCTGCTGCGCTCCCCAGCCCCCAGGGCACCCCACCTCCTGTCTCACACTTCTTCTCCCGTGGGGAGGTGTTTGCCAGGACCCTGGCATGAAAAAACAGATAAATGAGACCTTGAAATCCCCCGTGGTATCCTCTAGCCACAGCCAGACACAGCTAAGTGCTGAACGATCCAGCGGGTACAAACATGGAGGCACTTCACGGTCATTAACTAATTAACAGTCAAAACAGCCTTGTGAGACAGTGACATCTCCCTGGCCAGAGCAGCTCATCCCAGAGCTGTGCAAGAGCCAGCCAGGCCGACCAGTACCCCCAGCCACAGGCTCCTCTGCAATCAAGGGGCTATTTTAAGCTGCAGCACCAGACTTATGAAAGGCTTGGACAGTCACCCTGACCCTGAGGAGCCTCAGGGCGTCCCCTCTGTGTCTCTCCAAGATAAATCATTCCCCATGTCCCAGCCTGCAGCAGGGAGCCACAAGGCTTGGGGAACTGGAGCACAGCCAGTGCTATGGCAGGGTCAGGTGCAAACACCACTGCTGCTGCCACCAGTCCCTTCTGCCACCTTCACTGCTGGGACACCATCCCTGGCTGGTGAGGAGTGCTGATTCATGAGCAGGAAGGAGAAGGTGCATGAGAGGCACCTCTGCCAGCCTGGTTTTTAAAAGATTGTCCTTAAAACAGCTGCTGTGCACTGAGCAAGTGATCTGTGGCCGTGCCGTCTCAGAGCAAGCATCCAACCCTTCTTCTGAGACATTTACAGCGGTTTGCCTCTATTGGCAAATCTAATCTTAAAAATTAAATTGGAAGCTAATGAAAAAACCCACTCCAAGCTGTGCATCAAGCAGCACAAGGTGACAGGGGAGTGTTTTCACTCACATTCCTGCTAGCAGCACTGACCTTTGTGTCCCTCTCGCAGGTGAGCAGTGCGGGCGGCTTTACAAGCAGCTCCACCTGGGGCTCTCTGATTACTGTAACACCATCCCCAGCCCAGAGCCTGGAGTGCAGCCCTCGGGCTGGGTCCTTCCAAGGGCTGCAGGAGGATGGGTTACACTTCCAGAGCCAGGCAGACAGTGGGGAGGGACAGTGGCTCATCCAGAGAGAAATTCAGGGGATGAAGGGATTGAGAGCAGGCCTGATGAGAAGGATGCTTCTAATGGCAGGGATGGCACAAAGGGCACAAATTCCGGAGAGGGAATGCATCCACAGCTCTTCCTTCTCCTTTCTAAAATCCAGGACGTTTCTAAACTAATTAATTAATTAATTATCCATCATTTGCTGTTGATTATGGCAGGTCAAGCTGGGAGCTTCCAGATCTCCTGGACGGTAAAATCCAGGCCATCAGTGACTCAGACGGAGTGAACTATCCCTGGTACGGGAACACCACAGAAACCTGCACCATCGTGGGTCCCACCAAGAAGGAGTCCAAGTTCAACATCAGCATGAACGACAACTTCTACCCCAGCGTGACGTGGGCCGTGCCCGTCAGCGACAGCAACGTGGCCAAGCTCACCAGCATCCACCGGGATCAGAGCTTCACCACCTGGCTGGTGGCCACCAACACGGCCACCAACGAGATGGTGACCCTGCAGACTATCAAATGGCGCATGAGGCTGGGCATCGAGGTGAACCCCAGCAGGCCCCTGGGGCAGCGTGCCAAGCTGCAGGAGCCCTCTGCCCAAGAGCAGCCCCAGGTCCTCAGCAAGAATGAGCCAATACCACCCAGTGCCCTTGTCAAACCCAATGCCAATGATGCTCAGGTACTCATGTGGAGGCCAAAGGATGGACCGCCACTCGTGGTGATACCCCCAAAGCATCGATAATGCACGCCTGGCGTCCTGGCAGCGAGAGGGAGAAAACAAACCCGAAGCAAAACAATCACTTAGGTATTAGGATACACACCTATAATCTGAGCAAAACCTAAATGCACTTTTTATTCATTCAACAAATGCAACCATTCTACCTTCTCCCATTGGGACGGATTTCACTGTGCTAAAGCTAAAGAGGAGACCTTGGACTGGGTCTGTCTCATCACTGGATTCCTAAGGGAAGAAACTAACACTGATGTCTACCCTATAGCTTTTATTTTTTCTTCCCTACTTTAGTTCCTGTTTGAACTTCAGTCTCATTAGCTTGTCCAGAACTGCCGAGAACAATATGAACATTTTATTTGGGATTTTAAGAATTTTTTTTTTCTTTTTTGTTGAGAATGAAACAAGTTCCTGGAGCAAAAAGTTGACTATTTAAGATAAGGTATTTTTTTTAAAGCTGTAAGGTTCTGAGTTGCAAATCCAAGTCATGCGGCCTTATGTAGACTTTGCTTTGCATTGCCAAACTTTTGCCTTAAAGCTATGTTTGAAAAAAAAACAAACCAACAAAACCACCACCAGGCAGAATGTCCTTCCTACAGAATTCTGGAGAAAAAGTTTTGGAACAAGGAATAGGCTGTCAGCGTGGCATGGGCTGATGGATACAAAGGGCATGAAATTGAAAGAAGCAAGAAAATCTTCCTCTTTTTAAAACCTGGAACAAGGAAGCACGGAAATCATCTCAGTTTCAAAGCAATGCAAATAACAACCCTGCTGTGGGATGGCTCTCGAGGGGAGCTCCCAGGCCACCTCTCCCTGCTTTGCAGGATGCCTTGGAAGCTCCTCGTGCTGCTCACCTGTGGTGGTCTCAGCCTCCCTTAGCAGTCCAACAGGGAATCAATCACCTCACAGCTGGAATTGTGGCCCTGGGAGTCAACACCAGTCAAGGGGGGGATGTCCCAGTGGGACATTTGTCGTTAGGACACACAGATGTTTTCCCAGCTAGCCCACAGCCTCACCTTCTCGTGGCTAAGAGCTGGTGTGCCTGCTGCTGTCGGGTGAAGCTCTGTGGCCCCGTTTGCTGTGAAATCCCAGTTATGGGGCTGTACAAAGAGTGGGGTGTCCCAAGGATCTTCTGAAGTCACTGGAGACACAGAGGTGTCAGAGAGGGCAGATCTTACCCAGCATGATCTGTAGTTCAGGAGCAGCCACGTCTGAAAATAACAGGGACCCACTCCCGGCAAACACAGCAGCAGCTGAGGAAAACTCTTCTTTCTGTGCTAACCAATCACATTGGGATTCACAGATCATTTTCTTCCCAATGACCTCATGATCTACCTGGCTGTCAGGAAGGAGGTACAGGCAGGGCCATGACACTGTCCCTGTCTGTCAGGGCACAAACATCCACTGTAGCAAAGGGGAACACACGAGAGGCAGGGCAACACCTGAGCCCTGGGTGTGGATCCTCAGTGAGGAAGGAGCATTTGGAGGAGGAGGAGGTGAAACCTGTAGCTTTTAATAAGGACCAGATGGCTGCTGAGATAACCAGATGCTCCTCTGCAGAGGAGGATGAGGCACAAGAGCCTTTTGAATGGGAGGGAGGGGTTTGAAGGCAGAGGAAGTTCTGTGGTAGAGGTGGCATCTGGAGGCCAGGGCACAGGATGGGGAGTGGAGGATCTGCCCTGCTCCAGCACATGGCCTCAGGCAGATCGCTTCCCTCTGCAGCTCCTTCCCCCAGAAAATATTTCTTCCTCCTATTAACAACTTGCCTCAAGAGCTGGGACTGAGGAGAGTTCTGCATGCCAGGTACAAGCCTGGCCCTGCCGAGCTGGTCTGAACAGGCCTCACAACCCCACACACGCTGCTCAAAAGGCTCTCCCCATGGAGAGGCACCAATCAGCTGCTATTCCTACCCCCATCTTCCACACAGGACCTTACCAGCAAGAAATTCTCCTTCCTCACTTCTCCACAGCCACACCACCTCCTTTGGCAACAGGTTCAACATCAGAAGTGTTGAACAGAACAGGGATGCGCACCCAGGAGTTGTGTCCCCCACCAGGACAGCCTCAAACCAGCAAACAAGGATCCTGGGGCTCTGCAGCCATTCCCCTGCCTGCAGGGGAGCCCACCCTCCTCATCCACTGGCTTTCACAGATGCTCAGCCATGGAGCTGCTCCTTTCCACGGGCAGAGCTCTGAGGTGGGAATTCCGGCTTGGAAACGACTGGACTGGATCAACCCCAAATCCACAAGCCAAAGGGTGCCTCAGTCTCGGCTTTGGGACTATAAAGGATGAAGCTAAGGAGACTTGGACTTGCACAGTCACTCTCTGTATTAAACTCCGTTTTCTTACCTGGATTCACATCCAACTATAGCTCCACTGGCACAGCCCTTTGGGACTTGTCTGTATTTTCTCCGAGGCAATACATGCAGAAGAGGACAAACTGTGAGCTGTGGGTGAATAGCTGATCATGCTCTCATGCATCTTGGCTGCTGCTGAGTCCCATGGGTGGGAGCAGAAGGGGGATTTGTGTCTGGTATTCACTTTGTCTCCAGGTGCTCAGTACTTAGAGTTCTCACTGATGTCAGCCTGGGTCGAAGGAATCGGACCCAGTTGTCTTAATTAGCTGCACAAAGAAATTCCAAGGAAAGATTTCTTCTCAGTCACCAAAAACCACATTCAGGGAACACCTACGTCCTTTTCCACTTAGCTTTGTGTTGGACTTAGTCTCCCAGTGCATTAAGCAAATCTGGTTCCTCCTATTCCCTCTACCTGGTGGACTGGATACATCCATGCAATTTGATAGTAACCTCCTGGCTAATTTGTCCTGTTGCACTGAACGGACCCAGCTGAGCAGTAAACACAAAATTCACATTTCACTCTGGGGTCGGCTTTGCATGGACTTCTCCCTTCCCAAAGAATGCCTTTATCCCGTGCCTAGGTCAAAACGTGCCCCCTCACCTCCATCTGCATCCCCAGACACGGCAGAGAGAGTGATGCTGCCTCTTTGGAGATTTCATGCATTGTGATTAAAAGTGATGTTTTTCCAATGCTGCTTCATTACAAAACTGACGGGGACAGATTGTCTGTAACAGGAAGGATGGCTGGAAGTAACAGGGGCTCTGAGACACCGCTGTTGCTAAGGCTGGTGGTTACAACAGGGATTGACTGACAGGGTTCCAGGGGGGTCTTCAATGTCTGGGCACCCAGGGCAGAGTGGCAAATGAGCAGAGGTGAATCAAGCTCCTTCTCTGGCAGCTTTTGGCAGAACCAGGAATACACAGAGGATACGCTGGGCGGGTGTTGGGGCACCGACACAGCGTACACGGGTGAACGTGAGCGTGTCTGTGCCTCACCCTTCCCATCAGTGATGCTCTCAGCTCTTTATAGACCCAAACCCCCACAGGGGCTCAGAGTGCAGCCTGGCCATCCTGTCACAGCCCTGTGGTGCTCCAGGGTGGGCAGCAGCCCTGGCCCAGACCCTCACCTGCCCCCAGGGGCTGCTGAGCGCGGCCAAGGCACCGAGTGGGTCAGGGACCTCGTGGTTCTCCTTCCCTGCCCTTGACACCGAGATGAACGTGGGAGGAGAGGGGCAGCCCCTCGGGGAGCCAGCACAGACCCTCAGCAGCCTTGGGGAGGGGTAGAGACCTGTGGAGCCGGCGCCAGGCTGGGTCCAGCCCGGGGGAAGGCGAGGCACCGCCGGCCCTCCTGCCCTGGCTCCCGGCGCAGCAATAAGAATCGTCCTTGGTCTTGCAGAGATACTGTGAAAACAAAACCAAGATGTACCGAGTCTGGACACTTACAGATATGTAAAATACAAAACCCTGCTTTTATAACAGAGAAATAAAGTGAAATTTTCAAACGTGTCTGCCTGGAGTCGTTTGGGCGGTGGCTGTTTTTAAACAAATAGCTCTGCGCTCACATTTTGAGCAGCGCTAAATATCCCATTTACCACCAGTTCTATCTCCCTGTCAGCTCTTGGGCTGCAGCAGACAGAGCCAGGAGATTCCTGGCGAACAGCACCAGCCAACATCCTGCATTTTCCATCACCAGCCTGCTGTGCATTGGGGGCAGCCGGAGCTGGGCTGGTCGGCGCAGGCAGCGCTGAACTTGCGCACGCTTCGGTTTCCTGACCCCGCTGGCTTATTTAGCAAAACCCCGGGCAGATGTTCACTGAAAATATCACATCTGGAGAGAGGCAGCAGCGCAGAGCCCTGGGCAGGGGAGAGGGTGGAAGATGCTGCAGTCTGTGATTGGTTTTCAAACATCACCTGTACTCATTCCATTATTCCCTGCCTGCCCCCGAAAATGTTCACGTTCAGGTTTTGTTTGCTTTCCATAAAGGAAAGTGCTGAGTTCTGGAGAGCAGGGGGTGCCTGGCCAAGCAGCCAGCACAGCTCCACTGCTGATTTCTTAAACCCACTGGCATCTTCCAGCTCTGTGCTCCAGCTCCTCCTGCCACAGCCTGACCCCACTGCAGGCTCTAATCCCACCAGTTCTGCCCAAGCAAGACACAGCTTTCTCCTTTGCACATTTGTTTGGTCTTTGAGAAGTTTTGCTGGTCTCTGATCCAGCTGGCAAAGCAGCATCCAAACTTCTCCAAAAAAGCAGCAGAGCAAAGACCTGCTGGGTATCAGTGCTGTGGCAGTGACACAAACAAGTGCAGGTGGGGAGGAGGAGGAGGAAGGAAACTCCCAGCTCAAAGGAAGGAATGTGCAGGGATGGAGCTGGAGCAGGGGAGAGGACAGATTCTGAGTGGGATTCCTTGCCACAGTGGAAACACTCCAGCCTCATCTGTTGATAGCAGGTTAAATTTAGCTGTCCCAGTTTTGGAGGGAGGGAGGGGTGGGGAGGGGACACAGCCAACTCACAGCTGCCTTGGTGAGATCCTGGAAAAGCCAACAGCTCCTGGACACTTCTCCCTGCACAGGGAGGCTGGAAAAGCCCCTGTGGGGGATGAGGAGGGCACAGGGAAGGTCATGAGCTGCTGAGCCCAGCACAGCCCGGGTGAGGCTGGAGCTCTGCTCTGGTGCCTCAGCTAACACCAATCCTTGACTGCAGCACATCCCAAACTTTGCCTTTCTACAAGTTCTGTCCCTTGGTTTTGTGATTTTCTAACCTCAGTTTAAAGCAGACTGAGGCAACAGTTCCTTCATTTGAAGAAACCCTCTGACCTCCACAGTTCCTTCTTGAAACTCTGCAGGGACTTTCCTCTGCTGATGCAAATCAGGTTTTGTTCCCTATTTCTTCTCTCACATCTCCTTAAGCTGTTAATGTGCAGCAGCTGCAAATACTCCTTTCATTCCTTCATGTTTTCAAGTTTTAAAGCAAAACATTTTTAGCAATGCCCTGAAGAACCTTGAAGCACCTATGAAGAATAAAATAAAAATACAGTGCCATGAATTGACACAAAATTGTAACAGCTCCTGAAACAACCTGCACTGAGATTCTCAGGGCTACCTTTAGTAGCTTTTGTAAATTGGTCCCCACGAAGCTTTTGGTTGTAGAGTCCTAGAAAAAATTATTTCTCTGTGAGGGTGGTGAGAGCCTGGCACAGGGTGCCCCATCCCTGGAAGTGTCCAAAGCCAGGTTGGATGGAGCTTGGAGCAATCTGGGATAGTGGGAGGTGTGGAAGGGGGTGGAATGAGATGGGCTTTAAGGTCCCTTCTCCCCCAAATCATTCCATCATTCTGTGAGGAACCCAAAGATGGGAAAGCAGCACTGGAGAGCCAGCTCTGACTCAACCACGACTCATAACTTTGGGGTTGCCCCAAACCCAGGAGAGCAGCACTGGAGAGCCAGGTCTGACTCAACCATGATTCATGACTTTGGGGTTGTCCCACATTTCCCTTTCACCTGTGCACCTGCGGAGAGGTCCAGTGAGGAGCCCTGAGTGCAGCACTGGTGCAGGGGGGCTCTGCCTCTGTCCCTGCTGTGATGGGGCTGTGAGGAGGCAGAACTGCAGCCCCAGCACTCGAGCTTTTCTCCTGCCAGGGAACACAGGAGTCCCAAACAGGCCCTGGCAGCACAGAGCCTGCGTGAGATAAGGGCAGAAAGGAGAAATCCTGGCTCTGCAGCGGGGACAGACTCACGCTGGAGAGGAGGAGCCCTGTGACCTACTGGGAGCTGCAGATGGGGTGAGGTGAGGAATATGCTGAGAGGGACCACAGAGCCCACGGACACGTGTGGGTGTGCAGAGCTGGAAGATGTGTTCTCACATCCAAGCTCATCCCTGGGAGAGGAAGAGCCATGGAGGCACAAAGGTTGGAAAAGACCTCCAAGGTCATGGAGTCCAACCTTTGAGCAAACACCCCCATGCCAATTAAAGCAAAGCACTGAGTGCCCGTTCTCCATGGCTGCCAGGCCCCAGAGCCTCATGGCTATGAGAGGCGGGACAGGGATGGACTCACTGCTGACCCAGGGCTGCTCATCATCCCTGTGAGCCACAGCTGCCTCTGCCCAGCCCCTGGGGCTGCACACGACATTTATCCAGGAACAGAACTTGCCCTGGCACTCCTAGGCTCGCTCATGCCAAAGCCTCATGCAGGATTATTTTTCCTTGTAAGCAATGCTGGAAGCAATGCACAAGGGACACATGAAAACTAAGAAGGGATAAATAAAATGTCATTTCAGCCTCTGAGCCTGGGCACATACACAGCTGAGGGGAGAAGGGAGCTCTGCTCCAGAATGCTGGCAGGGACAGAGAGCAGTGCCCTGATTGCTGGGCAGAGGGCTGGCAGGAGATGGAGCCACCACCTGCCTGCACCCTTCCCCAGCCTCACTCCCTGCTCCAGCATCTGCAGCAAGGGAATCTTCTGCAGCACCTTCCCAACCTCCATCACCTCTGTGAGACTCACCCCAGGCCTGAACACCTCACAGCAGCTCCCTCCCATGGTCTGGATCCTCCCACTGCCAGGGTTTTGGTCAGAGACGCATCAGCTATCTTTTGTCTGGAAAAATAAGGCCAAACCATAGCTTTGTCATAGAGGTGGAAAAATTAA